TCATAGGATAATGGAAAAGCAGGAGAGAGAACTTCCAGATGAAAACTTTATCCACCTAGCTCAGTGGGTCCAAATGCTCTAATTTGCTACTGAATTATTAGGAATGCGGGGCGGAGGGCGTTGTACAGTTTTTCTTTTCCATAAATTAAGCACTGGAATGTATGAACTTGATGTACTGAAAATGGGAATTGATGCTTTTAAAAGTTTAACTTTTAAACCCTTAACCTCATACTTATTTTCACTTGGCACATGTGTTACTGGGCTATGAAAAGATCTATTTGCTTTGGCAGTGATGGAAATACCATGAGAATGAAAAGAAGGCATGAAATAGAACGCAATGAAGAAAACCAATGGAGAGAGGCAGGTCCCGGCCATCCTGGTTGGGGAGGGCAGGGGTGGGCTGGGACTCCCTATAGCTAAGAGCATGCAGTCTCTACCAGGGAATTTAAGGACAGAAAAGGAGCCACGTCATAACCCATGGAGTCAGAGGATGGTACAAAAGAACTTCTTCTCTCGGAAGGGGTTTTCCGACGCAGGCACTGGGATGATGAGGGGGTCCTCACGTACATGGGCTTCACAGTAGGCCAGGAGGTCCGCAGCTGCCTGGGAGACCTGCGGGGGACACAGCACAGGGGTTAAAAGCCAGTTCATGGTGGGTCTGGTGCAGAGGCGTCCGTGTGGATATGGCCAAGGACAGGCAGGTGGTGTGCACCGCCAAGGGCAAGGCCAGCCTAGAGAGAGGGTCTGTGCAAACCCAAGGAGACAGGGTTGGAAACATGCCCAGGGGTGCAGGACCAACCTCCGGAGAGGAATGGGAAGGCCCAGATATCCTCCTTCTACTGTCAGTTGAGTGATGAGTGGAGGCCCCGGGCCGTTAGCTTCACAATGACTCTGCTAAACCATGTACAGATGAATAAAGTGGAGCGCTGGGCCTGGCCAAGCCTGTGTGATTGTGTTTGTTATTGTTATTCGTTGTTTGATTGCAATCCACTCTCGTGACCAGCACAGAGAGACACTTCATTTTCCCCAAGACAGCACATATTATCAGTGTATTGTATGTATCACATACAGGAGCTACCTACTCTAAGCACACACCTTAACTCACAAAGGCCACGCCCTCCCCGCCACCCCATGTGCAGGGAATTGCTTGGGACCAGAAATCTCCTTCCCCTCCACTTTCCTTCCAGTCTCACCTGAAGCCTGCAGACACATGGTAGGGGTGCACTGAGGTATCCCCGTTGTTCAAGCCCGGGGTTCTAGAGGAAGGGCTGGGTGGGAGCTGGCAAAGGGCCCAACCCTGCTCCTTAATAGGAAGATGAAGCTACCAGCTCCTTTCACCCGGCGTCTGGGTCACGTGCTTGGCAAATGAATGGCCTCTGCATTGATGCATCCGGCCAATTAGGTCGTCCTGCCTGCAAGGGCTTATTAGAGGTTACAGGCGGGGCTCAGTATCCAGCAGTCAAATGAGATCCTTTTGGGCCACTCAATGTCTAAATCCTTCCTAGAATGTTAAAAAGATTCCACAAATGAATGAAAAAATGTCTTAGAATCCCCAGTGTATACAAGCCACACACATTCCCTCCAGGTTTTAAAGTCTGACCTACCTTCCAAAATTTTCCGGAAATTTTTCTTCTGATTTCCAGCCCAGACCTGATTTAGCAGTGGCTGGACTCCTACAAACAATTCTGGTAGAGATGTATAAGGAATTTACCCCCCAAATAAAGGAACTGACCCCCGCCCAGGGCAAGAACTCAGGATCCTGGGATCAAGCCCTGTGTTGGGCTTTCTGGTCAATGGGGAGCCTGCCTCTCCTCCTCCCTCTGCCCCTCACCCCTGCTCATGTTTCCTCTCTCTCTTAAATAAATCTTAAAAAAAAAAGAAAAGCTTTAATGTACCTCTGTTTACCTTTTAGCGCGATCCAGCTCGCCCGAAGTTAGGTCGCTAAACTGTAATTACAGCCTCCTTCCCCTGGCATCATCAGTGTTCACAGGCTTAACACCTTTCACGGGGCGGGGCGGGGGGGGGGAATATTGGAACAGTTCCGTTTCCTGAGACCGACCACAAGGGGGCGCCCTGCTGGGGGGCGGTGGAGGCCGCACCGTGGACCAGCATGTTAGTTAGACCGAGGCATTCGAGGAAGGAGCCCCAAAAATGTAGCTCTGGAGGTGCCAACCTCCAGTTATAAAACAGTCACGGAGATGAAAAGTATTGTGTAGGGAATACAGTCAAATAATACTTTAATAACACCCTATGGTGACAGACGGTAACTGCACTTATTGGGGGTATTTTGTAATGTACAGAATTGTGCAATCACTCTTTCACACTTGAAACGAATAGAACACTGTATGTCAGCTATAGTTCAATTAAAAAAAATGAGGCTTTGTAGGATGGCTGGGTAAAGGAGAGATGGGGCTGGGCTGTTCCTGCCTCCCATCAGTGTCTCTGCTGCCCACGCAGCTAAGCTGTTCATGTCTGGCCCTGCTGGTTTTCAGCAGATCTAATCTAGGGAATTTTCTGTCACCTCTAAAGGTGATATTGCACTTGGTTCCACAATTTTTCTTTCAGGGAAACAGGCTGTTCTTCGATTGCCTCCTTTTGCTGCCGGTTTTAGGACCACAGATGCACTTGCTGAGTGATAACTACAGTCCCCTGGATGGCGGAGTCCTGTCCGGGCACCTGCGCAACAGGAATGAGTACCTAATGGGGACTGTATTGGTGCCAAGTGATAAGCGCCCAATGTGAGACTAAATGGGCAGATCTGGTTTGGTTCCATGCAATATTTACATCCTGGATGCCCTCGATTTGTTGAAACAACATTCTTAAGAGCGCACAAGTCATCCTACAATCAAAGAATCAAGGGAGGTTTCCAGCTCAGCTATCAGCCCTCTTGTTTCACAGAGTGTATGATGTTCCTTTATTCCTGCATAAGCAGAGTATTTGGATAACCCCTGAAGTTGGTTGTTATGGGATCTGAAAGGATAAATATAAGTAATGAACATCTTAATGAGTCTTACGCATGAAAGGTGACATCTTGACACACAGCTTAAGATCCAGGCATTAATTAACCCAAACCTGCTTGTTAGGTTGTATGGAAGGGTTTTCTTAATCTGTCCTAGATTGATTTTTATAGTTGAAAGTTTCCTTCCATGCATATAAAACATGGGCTGCAGGCGTTGCCAAATTGCAGAAAACATCTGCCGTCTTTGAAATAAAAAACATGTGATTTGTTTTCAAAGAGAAAATTTTATTTGGGCTGGAAATTTAAAACTCCCTTACTGTTTACACTTTCTCCTCAAGCCTGAAGTCGGCTTTACCTAAAGACCTCTGCTGTAAAATGCCCAGAGCGTCTCTGCCTCTTCTCCTTAGTACTGAGCTATTACAAGACAACAGATGTTGAAAAGAATCGGCAGCCTGGGAGCAACTGTGGAATTTTACCATTGCATTTCAGAGTAAAAGAGGTGATTAAAACAGCCCAAGTTAGCACATAATCCTGTTAGTTGCACTATAATTACAAGCTTCAGTGATGGGAGAAAATGTTGCAATTACTATAGTCAAACTCCTCAACAAGACAGATAACATAATTACTATTCTGGCTGTGACTCCCACTGCACTTATCCTTTGCATCTCAAGCACAGCAACTCACACCTATTCCTCAGCAAGCCCGGTCTATTTAACAATACTACTTGGAATCAATTTCAAGCATCTTTGATGGTTATGCCTATTCCTCTCTCCACCCCAAGAAAACAGAGCAGGATTATTGTGGAGAGCCCAGCCGGGTTCAGCCCTCCTGCCTCCCTGCCCTCCTCACCACCCCTGCCCTGTGGTGCAACAACAGCATCTTTTACAAGGTCAAACGTGGTGCACACTTCCAACAGAAGAAATCATCTGCTGGTTTTCCCCGGTAGAACCATCAGGACATTACAGGAATTATCCCTCACCTCTAAAGTCTGAGCAGGTGCCCCCAAGTGAATTCTTGTGATTTATTTCTTTCTTCAAATGTTGGGAAGTATTTGAGATTAACGCACCAGTTCCTAAGCACATGCTCAAGATACTTGCATATTATGATGCTGTAAACTGAACGTTTGTGTCTGCCCAACCCCAATCCAAACGAGGAAGCCTCAATCTCGACATATTTGGAGGTGGGGCCTTTGGAAGTTCATCAGGTCACGAGGGTTGAACCTTGATGAATAGGACTAGTGCCTCTGTAAGAAGAGACATGAGAGAGACGCCTCTCCGCCCACCGTGTCAGGTCACAGCAAGGAGGGGGCCGTCTGTAAACCAGGAAGAAAGCTCCCACCAGAGCCTGACCGCACTGGCCCTGTGATCTTGAACTTCCCAGCTTGCAGAGCTGTGAGAAATGAATTTCTGTTATTTAAGCCACCAGGTCTACGGGACTCTGTTAATAGCAGTATGAGTGGGCTAAGACACTTGGCTTCTAGTGGATCCCAGCAATGATTTTGCATTGATCTGGATAAATATAGGCAATTTTCAATCATTGGGTCCTAGGACACAGATAGAGCCACCAGTTGGGAGTGTGTAAGGTTATCCCTGGAGGATATGGAGTGGGCGGGGCCTGGAAGATAGAAGTGAATACACGAATAACATAATGGAGAGTCCCTCTCTGAATTCTAAAGGCCAGTCTTCATAACGGCAGATGAGCTATCATCACATACGTTTTCCCCCCTCACACACATGAGAAGATGACTGCACATTGAGAGGTAAATCCAAGACGCTTGGAGGAGAGTTAAATATCTCCAAGTTAACCTTAGAGTTGATATACATGTTCTTTATGGCCAGAAGAGGGAAGCCCTCACTGATTAAATGACCAGATCCACCATGAATCTCAACTTAACCAAACCCTTGCAACAGGTTGGCGCATATCCTATATGACTCTGACCACCTCTTAGTTTTGATAGATCCCAATTTTCCACAAAGTAATTCCTAATTCAACCATTTTGCAAGTTTACCGAGAAAGTAATTTATTTGGTGACAGGAAGCAGTGAGTCACTCAAGAGGTTTCTGGGACTTAAAGGTGGAAGATAGACCTAACAGGGAGGTTCTGGGCTCCAGGGTTTCTAGAAAGCCACGGCATCTCTTAGAGAAGAAGCAATGGATTGTGAGTCAGGAAACGCTGTCTCTGACCGAGCCGCGCTCAGCACTAACGAGCTGTGTCATTCTGGGCAAGACAAACACTCAGGCGCTCAGTTTCAGTCCTGTCAACGGGAGCAGCAGTAGCTACTGGTTTGTGACGAAGCAACATAATGGGCGCGATTACACATACAGCATGTTCGTATTTCATTATTCCTTTGGCCGCTTTCTGGGAGGGCGCTGAGAAACAGACACGAGGAAGTTCCTGGAAATTATTAGGGCAACTGGATGCCCACAGTGCCCCCAACCCAAATCCTCGCGAGTTAGAAGTGTCCCTCGCCTTTCTCAAATGCACATTTTGTCTTCTTGTTCTCCTGCTTCTGTTCTCCTCTTTGATTTAATTCAAAGATTTTTCTCCTTTGATCTGAGAGCTATTCTAGAATCGCTCATTCCTAGCCCCTGTCTTTGAATTTCTTTCTAAATCTGGCCGTAGATAGTTACCATCTGAATGGGTTTCTGGGAGACGACGAGAAACGCAAGAGAAGGGTTAGGTTTCTGCTAAACTAGCAGAAGGTAAAGCAATGAAGGGGCGGGACCTAAGTTCAGACCGGACATGCTCGAAAGGCAAGATCTGTTTGCACCGCCTTGACTTTGGGCTGGGTCATAGGACGTGATTTATATTTATTTTCTTTTAGACATGTCATTTTTTCAACCTTCATGTCATTTATCATCTTGATTCTATCCCTTCCTTGGACTGCTCCGGACGCTTTTAATTGGCTGTCAGTGATCTACCAGAACACGACAGGCTCCCTGATTTTGTTCTTCTTCAATTTTCCACAGAAAACATCATGATATTTGAGCCTCACTCGTCTTCTGTTTTAGCAAAAACTACCTTTCACTTTAGAATTTTCTCGTTTGGCTTTGGAAAACTCAACACAGCATGTTTTATCTTGTGGAGAAATGAAACCATAAAGAACATATGTCATTCTTTTAAAAGAATCTATTTTTTCAATGCCATCCCAATCAAAAGCAAAAATGAAATTTTGGGACTTCTTCAAGAACAAAAGCTTCTGCAGAGCAGAGGAAACAGTCAACAAACCAAAGAGGCAACCCACGGAATGGGAGAAGATATTCGCAAATGACACTACAGACAAAGGCTGATATCCAGGATCTATAAAGAACCCCTCAAACTCAACACCCAAAAAAACAGATAATCATGTCAAAAAATGGGCAGAAGACATGAACAGACACCTCTCCAGAGGAGATATACACATGGCTAACAGACACATGAAAAAATGTTCAACATCATTAGCAATCAGGGAGATTCAAATCAAAACCACATTGAGATACTACCTTACACCAGTTAGAATGGCCAAAATTAACAAGACAGTAAGCAACGTGTGTTGGAGAGGATGTGGAGAAAGGGGAACCCTCTTATACTGCTGGTGGGAGTGCAAGTTGGTGCAGCTACTTTGGAAAACAGTGTGGAGATTTCTAAGAGAATTAAAAATAGAGCTTCCTTGGGAGGGGGGGTGGGGTTATGGACATTGGGGAGGGTATGTGCTATGGTGAGTGCTGTGAAGTGTGTAAACCTGGTGATTCACAGACCTGTACCCCAGGGATAAAAATATATTATATGTTAATAAAAAATAAAAAAAAAATAGAGCTTCCCTATGACCCCGCAATTGCACTACTGGGTATTTACCCCAAAGATACAAATGTAGTGAAAAGAAGGGCCACATGCATTCCAATGTTCATAGCAGCAATGGCCACAATAGCTAAACTGTGGAAATATCTGAGATACCCTTCAACAGATAAATGGATAAAGAAGATATGGTCCATATACACAATGGGGTATGATGCCTCCATCAGAAAGGATGAATACCCAACTTTTGCATCAACATGGACGGGACTGGAGATTATACTGAGTGAAATAAGTCAAGCAGAGAAAGTCAATTATGGTATGGTTTTGCTCACTTGTGGAATATAAGGAATAACATGGAGGACGTTAGGAGAAGGAAGGAAAGGTGAACTGGGGCCAATCGGAGGGGGAGACGAACCATGAGAGACTGTGGACTCTGAGAAACAATCTGAGGGTTTTAGAGGGGAAGGGGGTGGGGGTTTAGGTAAGCCTGGTGGTGGGCATTATGGAGGACACAGATTGCATGGAGCACTGGGTGCTGTGCATAAACAATAAATTCTGGTACACTGCAAAAAAAAATTTAAGAACTCACAAACCAGTAGGGTTGTCATGACTCTTAGAAGGGCTAGAAACAAACAAGCGAAGAGGGGAAGACACATGAAAGATTTATCTGTGAGAAGAATTATGAGGGGAAAAAAAATCTCTGGTTCAAATATAAATGTGAAAGAAGAGCCATAAGGCTGACACCCAAAGGTCTGTCCCAGCAAACTTCTGTGCGCTTACTGTTTGGTTCCACTCAACATCTCTGCGTTGTCCAAGCTGATGGACAGGACAAGTAGAAAAGATAATCCTGATCTCATTTACACTTACATTTGGGATGTAATTTATGCTTTTTATGCAGTGTGGTCATATTTTGCATCTGGTCAAAATATGGTCATATTTTGCATCTGGCTACTAGTCCCTAAGGGAATGAGGAGGAATATACAGACTGTATACAAAAAGAAAAAACAAACAACAAACCAAAATGGACAGTGTACTTGCAGATAAAGTGCTAGAGAGGAACTATGTGGGAAGGACAGAAAGGGTCTCTTTCTGTTTACTGTACCGTGCGGCCACCTCTCATGGCACCCTCTTTCCTCTTCACGGATCATCATACTATATAAATGACAATAAATTCAGAGAAGAGAATGCTAACTGGGTCCTCAGGGATTGGTGGCATCTCTGGGGAAGAGGTGATTCCTATGCAGAATTTTAATTTTGAAATAGCTTTCTTGTCTTCATAATAATAATCCTTATTTGTTCATAAAATTGCCCAAAAAAGTTCAACACTAGAAGCAAAAATCAACTGCCATGTGGAGACAGTGCTTTGGTGAACATCTTTTCAGATATCTTACTATTCCTCTTCCTACATACGATTTCATACGCTGTTCTGTAACATGCTTTTTTGTTCACTCAGTACACACAGATGCACGTCATTGTTTAGGATGATAATGTAGTGTAACATGGTCTCTACCTGACTTATTTAACCAAGCCCTGTTGATGGACAGTCAAAAATTACAATTTGTCGACATTATACGAGTGCGCTGATGAAATTCTTACTTTCCTTCATTATTTGTGAGAGAGTCTCTGGGTAAACATCTAGATGTGAGAACACTGGGGTCAAGAGAATGCATGATAAACATTTTGATACACATTCCGAACTATCCTTTTAGAAGACTGTATCAGGGTCCACTCCAACCATTAAGAACCTCTCACTTCACTTTGCAGCCGATGGGTGACAGTGGATTTCATCGAAGATTAAAAACATCAACAGTCTTACGGTAGCCAAGATATGGAAGCAACCTGAGTGTCCACTGATAGACGAAGGGATAAGGAAGATGTGGTGTGTACACACATACGATGGCATACTACTCAGCCAGATAAAAGGGTCATGCCATTTGCGACAACGTGGATGGACCTAGAAGCTATTATGGTAAATGAAATAAGTCAGACTGAAAAAGACAAATGCCACATGATTTAACTCATATGTGGCACCTAAATAAACAAAAGAATAAACAAGAAGCAGCAGAATCAAAGGCAACAAACTGATGGTTACCAGAGGGGGTGGGGCAAAATGGTGAAGGGGAGTGGGAGACACAGGCTTCCAGTTGGAACGATTTAAGTCAAGGAAATAAAGGCACAGCAGACAAGGTCATGTTTTGCATTTGGCTCCTGGCCCAGGGCACACAGTCAGTGGTACTGTAATCGTGCTGTCTGGTCACAGATGGTAGCTACACTCATGGGGAGCACAACATTACACATAGAGAAGTTGAACCACTATATTGTAAGGCTGAAACTAATGTCACATTTGTGTGCCAACAATACTAAAACAAAACCAAAAACGGTATGGGTCTCAGTATTTTTTTTTTAAAGCAGATCTCAGTGTTGTTTTGTGCCTAATTCTTATTTATGGAGGTAAATGTCTCTTCATATCTTTGACCATTTATAGGTCTCCATTTTAAGCTGCCTATTCGTTTGTACAGTTAAAAAAAAAAAAGAGGACCTTTTCTTATTGACTTGTCAAAGAAATTTCAGAGAGGTTTAGGGAAACCAACCCTTTGTTACATAAATGCAAATGTGTTTGTTTTGTTGGCTAGAAATTTTTACCATATCGAGTTTTTTAAAATGCCATCAAAACTTTTATATTATGAAAAAAAAACTTTTATATTATGAACTGTGGATTTTGTGGTATGTTTGGCCCTCCCAAATATTTATAAAAACATTTGCTTCTGAAAAAAAAACCCCAAAACATTTTCTTCTATTTCCCCACCACTTTTATAGTCTTATTTGTTATATTTAAATCTTTGATCGGGGTGCCTGGGTGGCTCAGTCGGTTAAACGTCTGTCTTCAGCTCAGGTCATGATCTCAGGGTCCTTGGATCGAGCCCTGCATTGGACTCTCTGCTCAGCGGGGAGTCTGCTTTTCCCTCTGCCTCTGTCCCTCCTGCCCCCAAATAAATAAATAAATTCTTAAAAAAATAAATCTTGGGGCACCTGGGTGGCTCAGTGGGTTAAGCCTCTGCCTTTGGCTCAGGTCATGATCTCAGGGTCCTGGGATTGAGCCCTGCATCAGGGTCTCTGCTCAGCAGGGAGCCTGCTTCCCTTCCTTTCTCTCTCTGCCTGCCTCTCTGCCTACTTGTCTGTCAAATAAATAAATAAAATCTTAAAAAAAAATCTTTGATCAAATTTAGGGACTGACCTGTGTCCCCCAAACTCCTATGTTGAAACCATAAACTCTAATGTGACTATTTGGAGATATGACCTTCAGGGAGGTAATTCAGGTTAAATGAGGGAAAAAAAGGGGATGGGATTCCCTAATCTGATAGAACTGGGTATGTTTAAAAGAAGAACAGACACAAGCTCTCTCTTCCTAGAGCACAGAGGGATGGCCACTTGAAGACACAATGAGCACGGAGGCCTTACCAGACATCAACGTGACTGGCACCTTGATCTTGGACTTCCAGGCTCCGGACTGTGAGAAATTAAATTTCGGTTTAAGCCACATAGTTTGTGGTTTATGTCATGTTTATGTTGTTATGGCAGCCAAGCAGACACATACAATCCATCTGAAGTTCATCTGTATAAAATTAGTGATGTATGCAGCTTTGTTTGTTTTCCTAAGGGCTAGCAATTTCCAGCAGCATTTTAAAATAATGTGTTCTCCACTGATTTAGATACCATACGGATCATATTCCAAATTCCTAGTACATTGAGATTTATTTAGGACTACCTATTCTGTTCTGTTGATCTGCCTAATTAAAAAGCTTTAAATACTCTGATTTTATGATAAACTTTAATACCTCACAAGAAAATTCTATATATCTTCTTCCTTGAACACAGATTACTTAAAAAAAATTCCTGGATACTTTCACACATTTATTCATCTAATTGAACTTTAGAATAGTTTGAAGTTTGCTTTTGCCAAAAACAGAAACAGAATTCGGATTAGATCTGTATTGAATTTATATACTAATTTATAGAGAAGAGACACTTTTACAATATTGACTCTATCTATTCAAGAAGAGGGTGTCCACTTTCCTTTATCCAAATTGTCTCCACCTTCCCTCTTTCAAGTCTTTTACATCTTTTTATGTTTTGAGTGTGAAAAAGTATAATCTTACACATTTACATATGGCATTCTCAAAGTCAATTTCATTGTTTAAGAGATGGTTTAAAAAGGATACTGAGGCTGACATTTATTCATACTATTGCTACTATTTTACTGCATTATGGTCAAAGAATGTGGTATGAACTATTTCTACTTTTTAGAATATATTAAAGTATTCCATGATTGGTACTTATAGAAAAGTGGTAACATTTTTTGGAAAAAGACATATATCCCATTATCCATCTACCTATCAATCAATCAGATCAACCTAATTAATTTTATTAATATATGCTTACATCTCTTTTGCCTAGTTGATCCACCAAAGACTAGGAAAGACATGCTATACCCTTACACAATTTGTCCATCTTGATATTTTGACAAATTTTTCTTTGTATATTTTTGATACAATTGGATTGTATGGTAAGACTATGTTTAGCTTTGTAAGAATCTGCCTTCCAAAGTGGCTGTACTATTTTGCATTATCCAGCAATAAATGAGAGTTCCTATCCTTCCACATCTTTGTCAGCATGTACTCTTGTCAGTTGTTTGGATTTTAGTCATTCTAACTATTGTGTAGTGGTATCTCGTTCCTTTAATTTGTAATGCTCTAGTGGAGCGTTCTATACGTTGTGGATATCTGGATATCTTCTTTGGTGAGGGGTCTGTTCAGGTCTTTAGACTATTTTTTTAGAGATTGTATTTATTTATTTGTCAGAGAGCGAGCGAGCGAGAGAGAGAGAGCAAGAGAGAACGGGCACACAAGCAGGGAGAGTGGCAGGCAGAGAGAGAAGCAGGCTTCCTGCTGAGCAAGGAGCCTGATGTCGGACACAATCCCAGGTCCCTGATATCATGACCTGAGCCTAAGGCAGATGCTTAACCACCTGAGCCACACAGGCATCCCTTTTGTCTATTTTTTAATGGGGTGGTTTGTTTTCTCACTGTTGAGTTTTAAGAGCTCTTTTAATATTTTGGATACCAGTCTTTTATCAGGTATGTGCTTTGCAAAGGTTTCCCCCAGTCTGTGGCTTGTCTTCTCATCCTCTTAACAGTGTCTTTCACAGAGAAGTACTTAATTTGAATGAAGTCCAGCTTATCAATTTTTCTTCTGTGGCTTGTGCTTTTGGTGTCATAGCTACAAATGAACTGCCAAACCCAAGATCACCTAGACTTTCTCCTGTGCTTTCCTCTAGAAGTTTTATAGTTCTGCCTTTAACATGACTCATTTTGAGCTCGTTTTTGTGAAAGGTATAAGGTCTGTGTCTAGATTTATTGTTTTGCATGTGGCTGTCTAGTTGTTCCCACAGCATTTGTTGAAGAGACTATCTTTCCTCCATTGTATTGTCTTTGCTTTTTTGTCAAAGGTCAGTTGACTGTATGTATGTGGGTCTATTTCTGAGCTCTCTATTCTGCTTCATTGATCTATTTGTCTATTCTTTTGTCAATACTACATTGTCTTGATCACTGCAGCTTTATAGTAGTTTTCCAGTTGGGTAGTGTCAGTCTTCCTCCTCTCCCTCAATATTGTGTTGGCTATTCCATTTTTTTTCTTATTTTCCCTTTTCCATATAAATTTCAGAATCAGTTTGTCAGTATCAACAAGCTAATTTGCTGGGGTTTTTTATTGGCATTGTCTTGTATCTATTGATCAAGTTGGGAAAAAATGACATCTTAACAGTATTGAGTCCTCCTATCCATGAACATGGACCGTCTTTATTTATTTAGATTTTCTTTGATCTCTTTCATGAGTTTTGTAGTTTTTCTCATATAGATCTTGTATACAATGTAACCAGTGGTTAAAAAACAATTGATCCGAGATGGTGAAGGTGACTTGATTAAATATGAAACAATAGTTATAGACCCTGAAATCAATTGTGTCAAAGTTGATGGCAAGAAAAGTTGTGAGCAATGTGGCTTATGATATAAGAAAGAGGGTGGGTTCTATTCCTGTTAGAATGGACCTGTGACATCTGCAAGTTAATGCACAGCAAAGTAGCTCTGGAGACATTTAGGCTAGGAAAGTGGACTATTCAGTTGAAGCAGCTTAGTCTCAAAGAACACTTGTCTCAAGGTGATATTAATATAATACAATCTTGAAAACCAAGATATTAATATAATACAATATAATATTGTATATTATTTATACAATGATATTAATCATTGTATATACTGATATACAATGATATTAATATAATACAATCTTGCAAACCAAAGCCCATTGGTAACCTGGGCTTGAGAAGATGGTTTGCTTTTTAGGTAGAATTGTATGATCAAACCAAGATTAAGTTTTTGTTAAACACTAGAAGGCCCAAAGCACCAATCTAATGAAAAAAACACAAAAGTGATGAGAATAACACCAAATGTTGGGAGTGGAGAAGAGAACACCACAATGTGCTGGTGTAAATTCTTCATCAGGTTATGCTTGCTTATTTTTATTCAAACCACATTAGGGTCTAACTTTTGGAGTAAAAGGTAGTGTTGAAGGAAGGAGACTCTCAGGTCATTCCTATGGAAGAGTTCACCGTGTGCCTCACTGGTGACATCCACTCTACAGGACACCTAATATTCTTTCTGCTGCTGCTGTTGCTATTTATACATCCCATGAACTGACATAGATGGGCAGTGATCTCTTTAACCATCTGGTACCTAATGGAGAAAAAGTGTCTTATGCCCAAATCTGAAGTCTATAGACAGTAAAAATTGAGGAGACTGACCCTATCTCCCTAACAGATAAAGAACGCAGCAGAATTCCAAGACTGAATTCATCTAGAAACTGTAACCTGGTAAAGACTTTGGATACCAGCGATAGATTCCTGAGGCAGATGACCTTTGGAGTGATGGCTCAGATAGATTTTCTGTGGTGAGTGAAGTGCTTGGTTCTCATTAGTACTCTGAAAGTTGGGAATGAGACACTGGGCAAACGGCACTATCCTATGTGCCATTTGTTGAATGTTGAAGATCTGGGGGTGAGTGGTGCTTTGACAGTGCTTACAAAGAATGCATCAAGCCCAATCTTGTGCAAATATTAGAGGGCATGCCGATATTTATT